GAATTAGCTTTAGTGTCACATGTATAATGTACAGCTTACAATTGTTTAATAAAGCACACATAACTAGCCTAACAGAGGGTTATAATTAAAAAAAAAAAAAATTAAAAATAATAAGAAATCTGATGGTAGATTATTGAAATGCTATAGGTCTGGATAAAGTATGACAACTGATGAAAATAATGTTACTATGTGTTAAAATTGGTATACTTAGAAAGGATAAATAGTTAAAATAGGATTATATGAATTGTTTATATAATCTAAAAATATATTATTGAATATTTTGATAAAAGTTTTGTTCAGTCAATTGAATTAATTAAAAAAAAATTTTTTTTTTTAATTAAATTAATAAATAATAAATTATTAATATTATTAAAATTAAATAATAAATAATTAGATTTATATAAAAATAATAAATAATTGCAGTAGTTTTTAAATAAAAAATAAAATAAAAATACTTGAAATAAAAAAATCAATAAAATAGGATAAATTAAAAATATAAAAGATTTAAAAAAAATTGAACAAAAAAAAAATAATAATAAATTAATTTATACTGAATTATAGAAAAAAGAAAATTAAAATTAAGATATAAATAGTAAGAATAATAAAATAAATTATTAAAATATATTAAAACCTTTTAAACTTTTATATAGAACTCTAAAAGTTAATAATAAAAAATATAATATAGATTTTAATTATTAAAAAAATTTTTTTTAATAAATATATTAATTTCATATAAAAGAAAATTTTAAACTATTTTAAAAGAGAAATATAAAATTTAAAATGTCAAATAATAAATATATATAAAAAAAAGTATTAAAATTTAAAAATTTTAATTTAGTTTAATTAATATAACAATATTTTTAATTCTTAATAACAAATAAAATCAAAAAGAAAAAAATCAAATAATAAATATTAAACTTCTAACAGTATTTGAAAACTAAATAAAAATTATTATCAAATAGTTAAGATTTTAAAACTTTAATAATAAATTTATAATAATAATCTGTAAGTAATTAAGAATAAGTTTTTAAAATATTTAATATATAAATTTTTATATATTAATTATATCCTTTTTTGAGAAACAAAATCCATAACTCTTTATTTTAATAGGAAGAAATATTATAAATCAAAAGTTTTGACAATAAAGAACTATTCCAAGTAGTTTTTTTATAGTTATCAATTTAAAAATTTTAATATTTTCTAGTGAAAGATATTTGACTTTGTTTCTGTCTTCCCCTTTATGAACCCATCTTTATAAGTAATAAAGTTTATAATTAAAAAACCATTTATTTAAACAATTAACTGAATAATAAATCACTTTCAAAGTAATAACTAAAGTTAAATTAATAAAAACAAGAAATAGCTACTGATTCAATTTTAAAGATATATAAATATATTATTATATACAGTATATAATCTACTTGATTTAATGAGATATACAGTATAGTATATAGTTGATGAAATTAAAATTGATAAAAAAAAAAAGGTTTCAATAAATAAAAAATATTTCTTGAATTAAAATATTTATTGCACAATCTTTTATTTATTCATAATCAGGTTACTATGGCATATCTTTATTAAGTAGCAAGTCAATTAATTATGAGACTTTCACATATCATAATAAAAAAAATTATTTTTTTTTTTAAAACTCGTAGGATTGACAATGATCTGTCGCACTTTTAAGAGTTTTACACTGATTTTCGGGACTTGCTATGAATTTGATAAACGAAAAGTTCGCGCGTTAACGTGCAGATTGACGGCGCATCTTTTTTAAACCGTAGTTGACGTTACTGGAATCGCTCATACAGTGTAACGTCAATCCATAATTTTGTCTTAGTACGTTTTTGTTTACACGCGTAATGCCCAAAATGGTCAAAAATAGTAAATGGCAATTTTTTCATATAACAATTGCACAAATACGTATATGCCATAGAAAACTGATTTATAAATTCGAGGTGTGATTTTTTTAATGATCAGCTTTAAGTATCTCTCAAAAAACTTGCTTCCAACTGACATTTTTTAACAAGAGGACAAATATCACGACATCTTAATGCATGGATTTCACAAAGATGTCAGTCAGTCCCGACGCAAACAATGCGATTCCGGCAGTTGACAATGACGATTTTAAAGGGGAAACATTTCCAAACAATGAATTCGTCGAGAGCAACAACGAAGGTCCCGTTGTCCTTATGTCCAAACCTAGATTAATTACATTGTTTATCGGGTATTTATTTTTAGTGTAAACGTTTGAGAGTGATTTCAATAATTGGCTAACCTCGTCCCTAAAATTCAGACTTTTATTCGGAGTATTCTTGTCGTCACTGAACATGACAATTGTTGCCACAGCCCTGTACTGTAATCTTCGTTCATTTTCCTCTTTGAATTTAATTCATCACACGAAATTGGTCATCTCATCCCTCCGCTGTTATCTAGACCAGCTATTGCCGCAGATCTTGCGGCTATCGATAAAATTTTATGGGTTGCAATTGTTGATTTACTCACGGCAGTGCGTAGACTCGAATCACAATCTCCATGCGCATCAATAGCAATCACCATAATTAATCCCGCCTGTTCTATTTATAGGCTTCCTTTCAACCAATGTACGGGAAACTTTCAGACATCTTTGGTAGGAAAATCACAATATTAACGGCGATTTCCATTTTCGAACTTGGATGTCTGTTCTGCGGGCTGGCCGATAACATTGTAATGCCTTCTTGTTATTCTCGTTCCTCCTCTTATCAACCTCGAGAAACACGGAGTAAATAAATATTGATGCAATCAATCGACTTTCCTTTTCACACGTTCCCGATTTCCTAGACAAAGTTGATCATATGGAGAGCGGTCTCGGGTATCGGGGCAGGTGGTTTTATCGGGTATTTCTACCTTCACGAAATAGTCACATAATTTTATTGTTGCACTCTCATGTAATATGACCTTTTTATTTTTTCAAAGGTTAACGAGCATAATAATAGCAGACATCATAAGTGTCAAGGAACGTGGAAGATATGTGGGAGTAGTTGGTAGTGTATTCTCCGTCGGCTCCATAATAGGACCACTTTTAGGTGGCGCATTCTCAGACAATCCTAATCTTACTTGGAGGTACACGTCTATTAACGGATTTCATGTCATTTTACCTCGCTCCATCATTTACAAAATTTTCCCTTCTCACTACTTAGATGGGTATTCTATATCAATCTGCCATTAGGAGCCATACCGGTTCTGTTCATAACATTCCTACTTTCGGTTCCTACCCCTCCGGGAACCTTAAGAGAAAAACTTGCGCGCATAGATTGGTGGGGAACGCTGACGGTATCAGGTTCCACTCTCGCAATTCTATTGGCGTTGCAATGGGGTGGAAGTAGTTACTCTTGGGATTCTGCACTTGTCATAACTTTGTTTGTCGTCGGTGGACTTGGATACATCCTGTTCGCATATATTGAAGGGTTCGTTGCTGCCGAGCCAATTGTCCCTGGTACGAATTCATGTATAAAATACAGATCTTGACTTTTTCTTGTCAACCCTAATCGGTATAGCCATCACTTCTAGCAAAGTTGATAAAGAATCGTACGGTTGTCTCGTGCGCTGCTCAAAACTTCTTTTACAGCATAAGCCTATACCAGTACATCTTTTTCGCCCCGCTGTTTTTCCAAACCATTTACAAGGATTCTGGTAATTCTTATTTGCTAACAAAATTTTCGTATAACAAGATACCTGAATGAATCAATCTCTCGATTTTACAAGCTAACAAAAATTTTTATCAAACCAAAAAATATCCTTACAAGCCTTGGTGTCTGGACTTAAGCTGCTATCGTATATTATCGGAGCGGTGATCTCGGCATTGTTAACCGGTCAATTAGCATCACTCGCGTCGGGATATTCATATAAATTAATTTGCCTATTTGGTGGAATGATGATGGCAATTGGTAGTGGGCTGACTTACACTCTTGATGAAAGTTCAAAGATCGGAGAACAAGTCGGATATCTTTTTATTTCAGGTTTCGGTTCGGGGTCCATATTTCAAATTAGTTTGCTCACAGGGCAGGCGGTGGTGAAAGAAGAAGATAACGCCGTTGTAACTTCATTGGTAGGAATCTCTTTTCCTTCATTGTGAATTAATTTTGGATTATAAAAATTCACTTCAAATCTGCTTGCCAATCAAACGCCACACAGATCACCTTCTTTAGATCATGTGAGTGATGTTTTAATTTTACCGTCTAATCAACTCGTTAATAATGTCAACGTCTCGCTCTTTAATGCAATTTTTTTTTTAATTTGCGAAGTTGGATCTGTTATTGGATTATCGGCGTTTTCAGCAATCATCAACAACGCGCTTATCCAGAAAGTGGTGGGAATATTAAAGAATCAATACAAAATCGATGTATCCTTTGGCGACATCCATCAAAACCTAACCGCGATATTCTCTTTCGGGGAACCTCTCAGAAGCGAATTGCTAGGCGTAATTCTTGACAGCTTACACAAGATATTCTTGATTGGCCTGATTGCTAGCGTGATGTTGTTCGTTAGCGCTTTGTTCATGAGAAATCGGGTTAAAACGGAGAAGGGTGAAGGGAGGTGATATTTCGATGTTATTGGTTCTGAAATGGATCGAACACGAGAATTCAGTGCTTGCTCGAAATCATGCATCCGTGATTGACTCACGGATTGAAACTCTCACAAGAAACCGCGAAAGATTTGTGCAGTTCCGGCAGCCCACAATCATATTTTTTACGCTTGGCGGTTCACATATTAACAAATGCGTCGACATGTGTTGACAAATATTTAAAAAATATATATTTATAAATCAATATCCGTATTATTTAAAAGGTCACTTTAAACCACGCGTTAATTATTGGTGGCTCGGTAATTTACTTGCGGAGTTAATGAAACTAATTAGTTAATATTTATTACTTTTATAATAAAATAAATATACAGTATATGAAATATTAAAATTATGTCATTCGGTCCTTTAAAACAAATGATGTCCGATGAGTTATCTCTAAGATCGCCAAGTTGGACGTTGAAAACTTGCAGGGTCGACGGTTACGCAACGAGAAGAAATGAAATTTATCTTTTAAATATAAAGCACATTCATAAAATTTCAAGCTAATTAAATACCCCGAGTTTTCTTACCGCTCCTAATTTAATTTAATTTTCAACGCATATGCCAACGAGTATCCATGAAAATTCAACTATTACTTTTTTTCGAAGATGTCCATGTAAATTTATCGCACTTGTAGCCTCTTCGCTATGCAACCATGAAGATTCATGCCGTCACATTCATTCACAACAATCGTGTTGCAATCGTTAATCCGAAACAAACGCCTTTCGGAAAGGTTGTTTGGCCAATTTCTGTGTTATGTAGAGATGACATACAGTAGATTGATCTTTTTTGTCTATCTGGTCAAAATTGATCGTTCCTTTCTTCTGGATCGATTGGATCTATTAGATTCACAAATTAGCAAATAGCAAAATAATCAGAATAATATCTGCGCAAGACAAGGCTTCCACGTTTCCTAATATATACGACAAAGGTTAAAGAAATTTCCCTGCTAGGCATCATCGGCGCAATGCTCAAATCGATCTCCTGTTGGTTACTGAAAAAATCGAAATTTTCCAATTGCAGAAGCATCAACTTGTGGTAACCATCGAGCAAATACAAGGTCACCTTTTCAACCACACCCTCCTCGTCTTCGTCAAATCTATAATCCCAAATTGCTGTGATGATTTGATCTAATTTGTAAACGTCCCCGACACGTGGTTTCCTAATGACAACATAATCTTTGGCACCCCATATTATGAGCGATCCGGAATAAACGTTGCTACCGAAAGTATTGTACTGAGCCAGGAGATACACCTGAGAGTCCGGTTGGGAGAATGGAGGAATTCTGAATTTGAAACTAAAGTGCCCTCCGCGGCTTTTGAGGTTTTTGGCGATGACCTTGGAGTGATTGGTTTTGGTGATGGCATACTGAGAATGGAATGTTACAATGTCAATTTTTTCGATTTCAGGGTCGGCGCTTAAGGTGACCACAACTTCTTGACCTGGCCGAAATCGGGAACCGGATTTCGGATATACAAATGCTATGCCGGGGATGCCTTGCGGAATAGAATTCACGAGGAATATGGTGAAAGACAAGCATGCCAATAAGATATTCCTAAAGTTTCTAAAACTTTGTATTGGAGACATCGCATGAACTTTGGAATTCGTGCATGAATTTTACTGTTAATTTGCGTCGAAAAAGTCGAAAGCCCAATGATCCATACGAACATGAACATACGAGCGGGTAAGGATCTTTATTGTGCCACCTTGACACTTGTGACCGCCCTCATGAGTATTTTGTGATGCGTACAAAATTTTAATATTATTGCATGTAAAATAAATAGGAGTCAATTATTTAGGTGAGACGGAAGGTCGTACAAAGTATTTTAGGTACTATGAATATATTGAATATATACAATATTTCCATATTATTCTCGGTCGATCGAAAATGGAAATGATGAACATCCCCATTCTGATCAGTACTTACATAATACAGTATATAAACAACTCGTTTTCGTGATGATGATGATGATATTCAATGGGAAATAACGAAACTACCGAGAGAGTTCCGTTGGTTACCAACAACAACTCTGATAATAAAAGACGACGTCATTTTCTTGGAATTATCTTGTGTTTAGGGACATTCGTATTACTTTCATTAATCCCCTCGAGTACGAATACTGAATATCAAAATGACATAACGAGAATTCCACACGGGTATCATTTGAGATTTAATAAAATCTGGAGTTACAATTATGTCATTGAAAACTCAACAGATGGAGGCGCTGACTATGCTATGCGAAGAATCGCAGATATTAAAGTTCCCTATTGGACGTACGGAATTATTAAGGTATTAGAATATCGGTATAATTCAAATGGTACCGTCGACATTGTGACTACAGCTCTAGCGCATATTGGTTATTTCACCCGGAGTGTGGATGTTATCCTGACGGCAGCCGACAAAGCAGCAATCATTGACCCATACTCCTTGGAGGCATGCGATTACAGGATAACTTGGACATGGATAATGAATGGTTATATTTGGAGGCGATGCAAGAATGCCGGAGATGACAGTTTCACAAAAGTATCATATTTCAGAGGGTCCACGACTTGGGGATTGAGTTTTTGGAATCTGGACGAGAGTGTAAAATTTGGATACACCAGCCGATCTAGCTTTTGGTGGAATCGCAATAGGTAACATATCATACATTTATTTTTTTCGTTATACAATCTATTGCGTCCACACGCTATTTATTATGTTTCTCTTCCTTATATTCAGAGAAGTTCTTGTCGAATTCCCCGCTCCATTTCCCCCGGTCATTCCATCCTTGTGCTCGGCCTGCTATGATTCCATACGAAGGAGTAGTAAAGATAATGACAAGAATTCGCGACAGCCTTTTAATAAACAATAATCGAAAATTCTACTAATTAACATGTTTGATGATTTTGACTTTATTCCCCAATCACCTTTTTTTTCTTTCGCAAAGCAGTAAAACCAACATTCCCCCAACAAGATAGGATATCAATACTCCATTTTATCATATTATCACAATTCCTTCTTTTTTTTTGTTTTTGATAACATCAAATAACTTCACACTTATTATTACCACAAACATGCGCTTATTGTATATAGTTATATTACTCATTTTATGCATTACTTTCACATCATTGTAATCTTTCAATCATTTGCAGTATTACACAAAATTAAAATATTATAAGGTATCGTATCGTATAATCCAAATAAGTCTTTATAGATTGATTTCATGGTTTCCTAATTAATGAATTTTATTCTGCGAATTTTCAGAATCTGCGAGAGTGTATACGATATGCGGATCTGTTATTATTCTTCTATTAATTTTTTTCGATATAATAAATATACTGTATATAACAAGCATATATAGTCAGACCTGATTAACAAGGTTGTGATTATAAAAAGAATTGTATTTTATACCAAAACTTTAAACATACGTGATTATAAAAAGTGTGACTATAGTTGAATATCATGTGTATAATTTAAGAATTGTATAACTTACTTCATTGTTATTTATAACATGTCATTTCTTAATATAGTATCATTTATCAATTGTTATTAATTTAAATATTTAAAAATCAAAAATTTTAAATTAATTAAATTTTAAAATTTTATTGATTAACATCATTTTATTTTATTTTTTAAGAATTTTGCTAATTTTAATAGGATAAAAATAATTAAGAATTTAAGCTATACTTTAAAATCTATAATTTCTTTCAGGTATATATATTACTCCTAAAGTATACAGTATATCTTTTAATGTTTTCTTTTCAAGTATAAAATTATCTTTCTTTTCAGGATCTATCATATTGTTAATAACCTTATTTTTTAAAACTTTATTTTTCTTATCTTTTTATATTATATATATAATCTTTTTTCATTCAATTATAATAATATAATGATTATTATAGATCTTTTTTTAATATCTTTTTATATTATTGACAAAGTTTTTTGATTACTTTTCTTATAATAGTTAACTTTATTTTATTTTAAGTCTTAAAATATTTTTGGATAGTTTTAATCTTATTCTTATATATTATATATACTATGATTACAAATTAGTGTAATCTTATTATTGTATTTTATTGAGTTATTTAATAAATTTTTCTTAAATAACTTCATATTATTCTATTACAATTTTTTTTTTTTTTATTAAATATTAAATTGATCTATCATTTATTTTTTTTTAAATCTTTGTTTTGTTAAAACAAGTTACAGAATATTTAAATAGATATCTAGTTATCTCATTTTGAATTTTATATTTTTAATAAACTATTGTTTAATATATCTTAAGTTTTTTCTTTAAAGTATTTAAAATATAAATAATTTATTATATATTAGATTTATCAGAAAACTTTTGATCTTTTTTTTTTTTTTTTTTTTTATTCTCTGTCAGATTAGTTATATATACTTACTTTATTAAATATTTGTAAGCTATATATATATAATAAGATATCAAAGCTAATTCTCTAATTAACTTACTCATTTTGTTATATTATTTATCTAAGTATAACTTTAGAAGTAATTTATCACTTCATTAATAGTTCAAGTAAAAATTTTTTCAACTTCTAATATTATTATTTATAGAGTACTATTGCAGATCACTTATTCGAGTTCTAATAAAGATTAAAACACAATCAATTCATACTATACTTCATACAATTTAATAAGATTTCTTTCAACTTTTTGTCTTTGATTCTTTTCTCTTCATATATTAATTTTTTAATAGATGAATTTTCTGTACTCTTAATCTTACTTTCTTGATCCTATTGATATATTAATCTTTTTATCTTATTCTATTTGAAAATTCTTAATATCTGTTCCTATTCAATTACCTTTTCATATCTAACATTTCATATTTTCTTTCTAAAATAATTATATACTTTCTTCTATATTTTTTTTATTTATCTTCTTGTTTCTTTTCTGATTCTCTTACCATAGCACTTCAGATCTACTATTTTTATAATTAGTTTTTTCTCTATAAGTCTCATATAGAAACTAAGTATATTTTGACTGGTTTCTGAGATTTTTTTCATCAGTTTCACTATTTATTTATCAATCTCTCCTATTTTTATTCTATAATCTATTATTAAGTTTAGCTCTTTTTCTAGAACTTTTTTTCCTATATCATCAATGATGTATCGAGACACTTGAGTGTGACCAATAGGAGCTTGTTTAC